ATTGAGACTTAATGTGTTTAATGCTGGTTTAGGACCGATGCATGAGGATGATAACAAGTGTTTCATGGTTGATGCTATTGACAGTCTAGTGGAGGCTCACGCCCCGAAATGTTAGTGATGATGCAATTTACATTCTTATGAATCATTTGTTGAGGAGATATCAAGCTTAAGTGTTGTGTCTAAGATTCAGGAGGTTAGTGCGCATATAGCAAGGTCTCCCACTCTAGAGCGTCGACCTTGGAACAGCAAGTATGAACCCTTACCACCTTTGTCTAAGACGACACAACCGAGGTCAATTGAGTCTGCACCAGTCTTAGAGATGAAGCCTTGCCTGATACTCTAAAGTATGTTTTCCTAGGACCAACAAGACCTTACCCATGATCATTGCCGCCAACTTAGTAGTGAGCAAGAGGAGAGATTAATGGCGGTCTTGACAACACATAAGGAAGCAATCGGTTGGTCGGTAGCCGATTTGCGAGGATTAGCCCTTCTTTGTGCATGCATCGCATATTTTGTGAGGAGAATGCTAAACCGGTGCATGAAGCTCAAAGAAGGTTAAACCCAAACATGAAGGAGGTGGTGAAGAAAGATGTGATCAGATGGCTTGATGCGGGTATCATTTACCCTATATCCGACAGCCAATGGGTGAGTCCAACCCATGTTGTACCTAAGAAGAGTGGCCTCACCGTTGTGAAAATGAAAAAGGTAAGCGTATTCCTACCCGTACTCCCACAGGATGGAGAGTTTGCATTGACTATAGGAAGCTCAACCTAGCCACTAGAAGATCTTCCCGCTCCCATTTATTGACAAATCCTAGAAAAACTTGCAGGGCAGCTTTCTATTGTTTTTTGGATGGCTATTCCAGATATAACCAAGTACCAGTTGCCCCCAAAGACCAGGAAAAGACCACGTTTACATGTCCTTTTGGTACGTTTACCTTTCATCGCATGCCCTTCGGGTTGTGCAATGCACCCGGCAACGTTTCAAAGGTGCATGTTATCGATATTTTCTGACATGGGGGTCAATTCCTTGAAGTCTTCATAGATGATTTTTCTGTGTTTGGTGCATCTTTTGATGATTGTCTCGAAAAATTGATGTTGGTGTTAAAACGTTGCAAAGAGACAAATCTTGTTCTTAGTTGGGAAAAGAGCCATTTCATGGTTCAAGAGGGAATTGTCTTACATGTGTCTTTCCGGAGAAGAGGGATAAGTGCAAAGGTAGAGTTGATTTCTCAACTACCATCACCTCTCGTCGGTCAAACAAATTAGATCTTTCTTAGGCCATGCTAGATTTTATAGGGTTTCATCCAGAATTTTAGCAAGATCTCCAAGCCTTTGTGTGATTTGCTTGCAAAGATGTGCCATTTGTTTTTGATGACACTTGTATGATTGCCTTTACCATTTTGAAGGAAGCGTTGACCACTGCACCCATCATGCAACCTCCTGATTGGAACCTACCTTTTGATGAGTGATGTGTGACACATCGGACTATGCCATTGGTGCAGTCATTGGCCAACGGGGAATAAAAAGCCCGTTGTGATTCTACTATGCAAGCAAAACCCTCTCTGATGCTCAATGTAATTACACCACTACGGAGAAAGAGTTGCTTGCAGTAGTGTTTTCCCTTGATAAGTTTCGGTCTTATTTCTTGGGTCTAGGATAGTTGTCTTTACAGACCACGTTGCAGTTAGGTATTTGTTAGCCAAGAAAGGACACTAAGCCAGATAATTCGATGGATTTTGTTGTTGCAAGAGTTTGATCTAGAAATCAAAGATAAAAAGGGTAGTGATAATGTGGTCGCCGACCACTTGTCTAGACTCTTTATAGAGTATGTCCCTGGTCAATGTTTGAATGCATCTTTCCCAAATGAGCAACTGTTTGCGATATCCCAATCCAAAGCACCTTGGTATGCCCATATAGTCAATTACTTGGCCGTAGGACAATTACCATTAGGGTGGACCAAAACTCAGAAAGATCATTTCTTTGCAACCATCAAACATTATTTTTGGGAAGACCCGGACCTTTTCAGGGTGTGTGCAGACCAGATAGTTAGGAGATGTGTCCTCGACCACGAGTTTAGTAGTGTACTTGCATTTTGTCATTCTTATGCTTGTGGTGGTCATTATAGTGGCAAGAGGACCACTTTAAAGGTCCTCCAGTGTGGTTTCTATTGGCCCTTTCTTTTTCGTGATGCATTCTTTTATTGTCGTGCTTGTACTTCATGTCAAAAAGTAGGGAATATTGGTAGACGAGATATGATGCCCCTGAATCCTATTTTGATTGTGGAAGTGTTTGATGTGTGGGGTATTGATTTCATGGGTCCATTGCCCTCATCTTTTGGCTTTGAATATATCTTGCTTGCAGTAGATTATGTGTCTAAATGGGTAGAAGCCATTGCCACTAGGACCAATGATCATAAGGTGGTCGTCAACTTTGTTCAATCGCACATCTTTAGCCATTTCGGTCATCTGCGCGCCATCATTAGTGATGGTGGCTCATATTTCACTAATAGGCACTTTGGCTCACTATTGAAAAAGTACTCAATCACCCATCGAGTTGCCACACCTTATCACCCTCAAAGTAGTGGACAAGTGGAACGTGCTAATAGAAAAATTAAGACTATCTTAGAGAAAATGGTACGACCCGATCGTAAGGATTGGTCAATGCGTCTGAATGATGCACTTTGGGCCTATCGAATCGCATATCGTACCCCTATTGGCATGTCCCCCTATCGGTTAGTTTTTGGGAAAGCGTGTCATTTACCTGTAGAATTTGAACATAGAGCATATTGGGCCACAAGGAAATTCAACTTTGATATGACCACGGCCGGTGACCATAGGAAACTCCAACTTTCGGAGTTAGATGAGCTAAGACACAAAGCTTATGAGAACTCTTGCATCTCTAAAGAGAAAACTAAAGTTTTTCACGATAAACACATTGTTAGGAAGTCATTCTCTCCTAATCAAAAAGTGTGGCTCTTTAACTCTAAGCTTCGTCTCTTTCCGGGGAAGCTTCGGTCACGATGGGATGGCCTTTTATTGTTCTTAATGTTTTCCCTCACGGAGCTGTTGAAATCCAAAACCCAAAAACGGGACAAGTTTTTAAGGTAAATGGCCAAAGACTTAAACCTTATGTCGATGGCATTAATGATGGAGAGGTGATTGAAGAGTGTTCTTTATTTGAACCACATTAGCCATGTCAGTGCACTGAGTCTGGCTGAAGACTTTAAACTTAGCGCTTGTGGGAGGCAACCCAACTTTGTAAATATGTTTTTACTACTTTTATGTTTGTGTTGTTTTTGTCTTCGCAGGATCGTCATGTTTGGAAACTAATTAACTAGTCCAAGGCTACGCTTATGCATGCTCCACAAACTCTGTTGATGATAACCCCACCATTGTTCCTCAGGTTGTATCTCTCTACCTTACATGCTATTATTGTTAGATTTCTTATTTCTTAAATATGTTGGAGGATTTTAATGTTATTGATCATATTGCCATTTGAGATCATTTGATGCTAAGTTGGGGAGGATATTTGTAGTTGTGGGTCATTGAGGACAATGACATTGTGATATTTTTGGGAAGTGTTGTTGATGATGCTTTTGTGGAGATTATGATATTTTTGTGAAGTGTTGTTGATGATGCTTTTGTGGAGATTGTGTGTTGAATAGAGTGCTTAAATTTTTGTGGCATGATGATGCTGTTTTTTGTTGAAAATATGTTGAATCTTACTCTTGTAAGTCCAAAAGTGGTTAAAGTGAACAAAAGCGAGTTATTTTTAAATTTTTTCATGAATTCATGCATAATCACCATTTTAGAAGCAATTGAGGTGCTAGTTGAGAGGTTTTGTGAGGTTTGTGAAATTTTTTTTGTTGCAACATGTTTTTAAACATTGAACTATTGGTTCTGTTTCGCGCTAGGTTTGTCCATAATTGTGGTTAGACACCGTTTTGTGTAAATGTCATGTGTTTTAGTGTTTATGCAATCTCCCACATACTTTACATGCCCATGGAGCAAAGTTTCATTTATTATCTTGCGTATGTTAAAAGTGCTTAAATGTTGCTTGATGATTTGGTTTTGATTTGTAGCCTAGTTGACTCGAGTGAGTACGCTCGAGGGGTGTTCTACACTTAATCCCCTAAAGCTATCTAGCTTGGGAGCGATTGGCCTAAAGCTCGTTACATGGGTCATCTAGAAAGCTTAAGAAATCATTACATAGATCATGAGCTTTACAAAAAAAAAAATAATAAATAAAGAAATAAAGTCTTGACTTGTAGCCTAGTTGGTTCGGGTGAATAAGTTCGAGGAGTGTTTTACACTTAGTGCCCTATAGCCATCTGGTTTGGGAGTCATTGACCTAAAGCCCGTTACACGAAACTTCCAGAAAGCTTAAGAAGTTAAGATTAAAAAAAAAAAAAAAAAAATACAAGTGATGAATGAAAAGAAATTATATGTCAAAATCTTGTGTGGAAAATGAGCATTATGTTGCATGTACATAAGTTGGATTGTCCACATTTTTCAATGCATTGAATTTGACAAGAAAACATGAGGGTGGTAGCATTTCATCAATGGTACGAGTTTGAACAAGGTTATCGAATTCAGGAGGTATGTCTGGAGTATGGTTTGGTGAAGAAGATGATGAACAGGAACTTGTGGGTTAATGATTGGAACATAAAACAAGGAAGAGGTTTGGATTTAGGGTTCATGAAACTGATTGTTTAGTTTTAGGTCTGGATAAATAATCTACAATGGTGTTGGTGTGACCTTTGATATGCTGGATGGTGAAGGAATATTTGTTGAACCATTCTGCCCATCAAACTTTTTTCTTGTTGAATCGAAGTATTTGATCAAAAGACTTCATATCCGTTTCAACAAAGAAATGATGTCCAACGAGGTGGAATTCAAACCTTTCAATGACATTTTTTACTACTAATACTTCCTTGAAAGTATAATGATAATGTTGCTAGTGTGGTTTGAATTGTCCACTTTGGTATCCACACAAATGTCATACCTTGTCATCATCTTGTTCAAAAAGCATTGCACCCCAATGAGTGTCACTAGTATCCATCTGAAGAATTCGTTGCCTAGAATAAGGAATCTTCAACGGCAATGTATGGAAGGATCTGCACTTAAGACTCTTGACTACATTTGTTTGCTTTTCAGACCACGAAGGAGGATTCTTCTTATGCATCTGGGAAAGTGGAGTAGTGACATGAGAAATGTTGGGAATAAAACTGCTCATGTTATTGGCAATTACCAAGAACTGTTGTATTTCTTTCTTGGTTGTGAGAACATCTGGGAATTTTCGCAACTCATTAGCAATATGAGGCTGAAGATCATACTTGCCATCAACAATCACCATACCAAGAAAATCAATCTTTGTTTGCCCTAACTGCATTTTTTTCTCCGAGAGCATAATACCATAAGTGTGTATGATATCAGCAAAGTCACGAAGAAGATGTATATGAGATTCCTTATCTTTTAATAAGAGAAGGATATCATCAATATAAATGAGACATGTATGCAGAAGGGGAGCAAAAATCTTCATCGTGGCTTTCTGAAAGGAAGGAGCGACCTTAAGTCCAAAAGGCATGACCGTCCACTAGTAGTGTTGGTTGGGAATGCAAAAAGCAGTGTTATGACGATCATTAGGATGGATGCCAAGTTGCCAAAATCCAGCTTTGAGATCAAATTTGAAAACATTTTTGCATTATGGAGATTTGCAAAGAGAACTTGTCTAAAAGGCAGAGGAAATTTATCATCATGGAGAAAGAAATTCAATGGCTGATAATTGATAACAAGTCTGAGTTTTCCTCTGGCCTGTTCAACACGCTTATTGGAATAAAAAGCTTCACATGTCCATTAAGAATCTGTGGGTTCGTTCAATCCTTGAGATAAAAGCTGAGTACATTCTTGTTGGCTAGGCTGAGATGTTCTGGTGACATGCCTGAATGACTAGCTTTAGTGGGATTGATATCTTCGCTCTTGATGAATGGAAGATGGATAAAGAAATCCGAATTCTTCCATATTAGATGAGCAAATTTAGTGAGAAAATCTGCATGAGAATCTGCACAAGAGCGGGAAATAAGCTAGGTCTTGATCTGCTCAATAGGATTGCCTTCAATCTAGAATAAATTAGGCTAAGTGGTCACGGATTGGAAAAACATCTTGTACCGAACACCATCAGGGAGGATTCTAAGTTTATTAAGTTTATAATAAACATCAAAACCTAGAACCATATCTTTGTCAGGTAGATCGGAACCAAGAACTTTATGAAAGGTGAAACATCTTGGGAAAATTTAGATTTTAATGGGTTTGCTTATCAGATAAGTAGTGAAAGTGTCATTATTAGCAGTGTAAAAAACTTCCTGATGAGGTTTCCACTAAGAAGTTGGGAGAATCTTAGGGTTGATAACAGTGTCAGTAACATCAATGTCAAAAAATACTATGACTAAAGTGGGATTGGAATATTTGGTAGGGAAGATCTAAACTTTCGTTGTAGGGATGTGACATGAGAAGGCTAATGATGGAAGAGATTGTGGTGTTTATTGGATATGGTGAAATAGTGACAATCATCTGAATCAGAGAACTCAGTATCAGTGGCTGCAAACTAGAAAATAGTGTCTGAAGTGGGTTCTTCATCCATTGAAAACCAACTTTCAACATCATCATCAGAAAAATCTATATCAGTGAGCTAAGAAAGCTATTGCATCATTTTCGCTGACTGTTTGGGCTTGTTTAGACAGTTTTTGGCAAAATGACTAGGACGGTTGCACAAATAACATCGATTAGATCGTTTGTCTCTACGTCTGGAATGAAACTTCTTTATGGTAGGACAAGAACATGAGCGATCTGATTTGCACTTGATCTGCAAGTCTGGTGTTTGACAAACCTTTGTTAGATGTTTAGAACGCTTAAGATAATTGTCAAAACATTACTTTTGGGAACAGAGCTTTTCCAGAGCGAGAATGACAAATTGATAAATTTCTCCAAGAGAAGTAGAACCAAGTTGTTTGTTCTGGGACTACATAAGCTTGGTTGCTTCATGACTTATGGATTTTGGAATAGATGCTAAAAAGGCTTGCTTCATGTTAGGATCATCCATACCCCTAAGTATATGATATCTTTTTACCATCTCTTTGTAATGCCTATCAAGATCTTTCTTCTTAAGAGAACAGCATCGTATCTTAAAATATTCTTCTCTAACCTGGTTCTCACAAAGGTGAGGTAATCCACAAAATTCATCATACAGGAGATACAGAGCTTGATTAATATCTGGCATTTAGATGAATAAATTTTGTCTATATTATCCACCAATCATGGAGAATGTCACCAAATCTAGCTATAAACTGCATAAGTACAATGGAACTTGGGCATTAGGTTTAAGCATCTCAGCTTGTAACCAGGCTTGAAATTCATACATCCGAGTTCTCTATTTGTGTGGAGGAAGATCATCAATAGTAAAAGTGTGGAGCTTTGCTAAAGCTATATAAGAGTCACGCTCAGTCGTAGTATGATAGGATTGTCGATACATAGGCGGAGAGTCTGGGATGGAATCATGACCTTCAGGCATCTCATCATCAACCTCAGAAACAACAGGTGGTCTTGACGATTCAGGTTGATGGGTCATCAGTTGAGGATAAACATTAGGATGTTGATCAGAAGTATTACTTTCAGAGTCAAAGCCATTTTCAAATGAGTCATCAGTCGAAGGTATATCAGCTTCTGATTCTGTTTGGAAGGTAGATAGAGAATCTTGAGAAATACCTGAAGCTGCAAGACGTTGCCTTTCTGTCATGTTTCTTTAAAAAGAGCTCATAAAATTTGAAGTGACAGATTTTCTAAAGAGTCGAAATTAGTAGAAGTTTGATGGTCTTCCATCATCATTAATTGCATTAGAGCCTTCCTTAGATAAAGGACAATGAGGCTTAGGAGATGAAGGATCTGAGTGACTAGAAGAGAAAGAGTTAGGTATATCAGCAGATATGCGATTTAGCAGAATATTTTTGTCGCTTCTTTTGTTCCCGTTCTAGCTTGATCTTTTCATCACGTTTTTTGCGGAGCTTGGCATATAACTATTCAGTGTTGCCAAAAGCTTGAATAGCACCAAAAGGTATATGAGGTGAGACCAAAGATTGACTAATTTTTGGGAAAGGTGAAAAAGAGGGTTATGGCCATGCTGTTAAGGAGTCAAAAGGATTTGGTACCAAAGACATTTCAAGGAAAGTCTGTGGTTGTCTGAGTTTTTGCTTAAGATATTCCTACTGAAGCGATGCCATTGGGGTTTTTAGTGACTTCATTTATGCTTCCTTCTGGAGAAATTGAGCTGAATAGCCATGAGAGGTGCTGACAATGTGCATTAATTCCTGATGAAGCTGATCAATCCAATTTTAGAGATGATCAATCTGTTTTTGTAACCGAGAAATTAGCATAGTGTGGTTTTGAGACTGAGAATCCACCCGATGCGCAACCAGATCCAGTTTTTGTTTAATTCTGGTAATGGTTTTGTTTTGAGCTAAAGCATTTTCAGTCTACCAATTGAGAAATGCTTCAGCTTGGGAGAGTTTTGGCGTGGATCCATCAAACTGTATAACTTTGGAAAGAACCGCTTTTGGTTGTTGAGTCACAGTTTCCTTAAGAGAAGGAAAGTCTGTGTCATAATTGAAATGTTGTCCTGTCTTTTAGGGTTTAGGAGATTGAATCATCATAATAGACTGAACAGATGGAGTATGAACAAGGGGTGAATAAGTTGGTTTGTTTTCTTTTGCAATCCACCAGGAAGCATGTTGATAACATGGTAAAAGTTGTTTAAAGTAGGTTTGGATAGTTTTAAATATGATTTGGGTTGAGGTTTCGGAGGGATTTCCCACGAAAGATTAATGGATGGTGAATCTTTCCTAGTTGGAGGAGAATATTTGACATAATAGTCAAATTTACCAAATGGTTGACCAAGAAGGCCAACTTCAGGATCATGGTCTTCAAATCTGGAGTGAAAATCTTTTTTACTGCACTGAGCTGTCTATTTTTTCCATTAGAATGATTTCGTCTAGAAAGATAATGCTCATCTATTTCCCAAATAGGATCATCACGGCAATTCAAGCATTGGTAGTCAAGATCAAATGGAGTATGACCAGTGACTAGATCAAATTGATGATAGACAGGAGCACCAGATTGTTGAAATGAATGAATGGAAAGTCCAGGTTCCCGTACTACTGTAGCTGGTAAGACTGGAGTGATCATGAATTGAGTTTGTCAAAAACTCAAAGGTGAAGCACTGGGAGTTGCTGGGGACTTAAATCTGATAGTTGTTGTTTTGTCACTATTATCATGCATGGTAGATTTTGTAGAAACCATCAGAGTTTCTTTTTTATTAAGAGACTCATAACTCGTCATCCAAGAGTCGGGTAACAATTTAATCAAATCATCTCTGGAAATTTGCCTGGGAATATTGATGCAGTGAGGAGTATTCTGAGAGTCAACAGTAAGGAGCAGCACATCAGTAGTCGTAGGGATAGAGAGATCAAGGGCATGGTCTTGGATTCGCCAAACCATCTGATAATGCAAAGTAGCTGCAATACTCAATACTCCCTAGATTTAAATCTGCACCAACGATCTATAATTGAACTTTAAAAACTTTGAAGCAATGAACATCAGAAAGAGACATATTGAAATTAGGAAACAGTGTCATAATGACTGTCCCATCATTCAAAATTGTCTGTGTCGTCCCTATACAAGCATGTTGATATTGGACAAATCTGGTGTCCAACAAAGCAATTTGGACAAAAACTAGGAGTCCTTTTCTGCCATGATAAAATAATGCTAGCCGGATAGCACCAAAGTGTACATGAGAGTATCCTTCACGGATCCATTGAGTAATAGATTCTTGAGGGATTTCCAAAGTAACATATTATTCTTAAGCTGTGGCTGAAATTTGACACTTATCAAAAGTATTAGTCTAGATATACTCTTTGACTGGCTTTCTGGAAGGTCTTACAAGAGTTTTAAAGGTTTTAGACAAAGAAGACGAAGACTTGGAAAAGGCCGTATAAGGATTTACAATGGGAGGGATAGTACCTTGGATTTTTTTTATTTTCTAGGATATAAGATATTTCATACAAACTATCTACTTTAGAAGAAAATCTAGATAAGCTAGTATTCATGAGAGCAGTAAACGTAGATAAAGCTGAAGAGGATTTCATATGCGTGAGTTCATTAAGAAGTCAAGGGAAGAGAGAGTATATATCCTTGCTCGCCCCACACATCCATAGCTCGCGCCATTGTCCATCATCAGATTTGGCCATGCATTCACCTTGTCAAAAGATTAGCCAAAATAAATTAAATCATTTAACCCAACATAATATTTGTTATACCCATCTAACAAATATTATTATAGAATTAATAACTAGTTAACCTAGCTATTAATCAGAAAGAAAAACACATATATCCCATTTTTAAGAATTAGTCCATACCTGGGTATCAATCTCCTGAATAAATCTTTTTTTTTTTTTCTTCGAGTATGCAAATCAAAAGTAAAACAATAGATTGAGAAATAGAACCCTTTCACAAACTAAAAATATTATTAATTTTTCTCTG